AAATTGATAAAGTTTGTAATTTAGTATTCATGGGCCACAGAAGTAATGCCTCCTTCACACTATAAACGACATTAAACAAAAGAATAATGTAATTGTGACTGCCTCCAGAGTTACCAAACCTGCGGCCTTTATTTTGCCTAAACCAACAGCCTGGAAAAAAAAGCCATGTCAAAACAGGGGAAATTAACATACATACCACTTCATTCCTACAAACTCATATATCTACATACCTCAAATTATGTTTGCATCTAGGGGCTACTTGCCTACCGACCACCTGCCAGTCGACCAACAACCTACCCAAGCCAGCCTACCCCATAGATTGGTTACTACTTCTGGCCGACCGCTTCAAAAAACAAAATTTACGTGCACAACACTCAATCCTCATATATTTATATACTTGCATTGCTAAATTATTTTGTGATTCTTTGATAGGCTAGCCTTCGATTGCTCATCTATCTCTGGTCGATCATTTTTAATCATGGAAGATTTACACATCACCCAATTCTCTTGAGTTTAATTCCCTAGTTATTTATTATGAGTACAATAATGTTGTATTCCGATGTGGGAGATCAGGTCGATCGAGAAATTCATGCATGCCGACGGACACTCGACAATTGTGGAATTTGAACTCAGGTAATAAAACAGAGAGCAAAAAGCTCCGTGAGGGGTGGAAAAAAATCTTAACACTCGACAGTGACAAGCTCTGTGAGGGTGGGAAAAAAAAAATCTAACACCTGACAAAGACAAGCTTCAAGTGGAAAAAAAACTAATGCATTGCAGCGGCAAGCTTCATTGCAGCGACAAGCTTCGTGATGATGCAAAAAAAAAAAAAAAAACTAACAAACGACCCCGACAAGTTCCGCGAGGGATGAAAAAAAATCCAACATCCTACAATAGCAAGCTCCGCGAGGGGTGAAGAAACAAAAAATAACAGCTGACAACGAAAAGGTACATGATGGGCGGAAGAATATCTAACAACCGGCATCGACCAACTCTGCGGGGGAAGAAAAAAAAACTAACATCCCACAACGACAAGCTACTCGAGAGGTGTAAGATGACTCATTACCCGACAACGACAAGCTCCATGAGGGGTGTGAAACGATCGTCCTCATCCTTTCTAATAATTTAACACCCAATAGGGACAAGATCCGCGAGGGGAGTAAGACGACTCGTCACCCCGCAGTGACAAGCTCCATGAGGGTGTGAAACGATCGTCCTCGGCCTTTCTAACAATTTAACACCAGACAGTGACAAGCTCCGCAAGAGGTGTAAGACAACTCTTCACCGGGTAGCGACAAGCTTCGTGAGGGGTGCAGAGTTCTAGGACTCCACCCAGAGGTGAACAACCCAAAAACTCTACCCCGGGGCGAACAACTCCTGAACACCACTCTGAGGCAAACAGCTCCTGGAAACCACACACGGGTGACCAACTCCAGGACTCCACTCTGGGCGAATAGCTCCATACTCCACTCCAGGGCAAACGACTCTAAGACTCCTCTTCAAAGCGAGCATTTCTATAACTCTTCCCAATGAAAGACAAACGAACAAAAAACTCCAAAATGTCAAATCCAAAATATACAATTGATGTGTGCTAGAAAATTGATGTGTGCTAGAAAATTTGCAGCGGTAGAGTAATAAAATTATCGTCTTAGCGTTGTACAAAAGTTCAACACACACATAGATGAAATAGAAAAAAGCGGTGATAACTCTAGAAGTTTTTACGTGAAAAACCCATTCGAGAAAAACTACGGGGTCTGGCCCAGTTGCAGAAATATACTATTGATTGATGATTACAGAAATCCCTTGTTCCACAGACGGGAAATGGTAACTATATTTTTCAGGTTACAACGTTGACTGACGACGTCTGGTTGGTGGTTATCGATGGTGGTTAGTGATGGTTGATGATGGTTAGCGGAGGGCGACGGCGGGCGGGGGGGGGCCATGTTCGACAGAGGTCGACGGTGGTCAACGGCGGCCGGCGGCGGTCAACGACGAAGAACAACGGTGGTCGACGACGATTGGTTGTGATGTTGAACTGCTGGTCATGGACAAAAAAAGTCCAACATCAGTTAGGTGCAGCGCTGAAAAGCACTATTTAAATCTTGGGCTGCCCACCACCTCTAAGAGCTCTTTTAGAATGTGACAAGTGGTATCAGAGCAGATTACTGCCTGTCAGGTGTGTGGACTCTCCATGATCAAGTGGGACCCTCGGTGGAACCGATCCGTGACAAGGGCGCCACGTGATTGGGTGGAGGAGAATGTCACGGACAAAAAGTCCCACTTCGGCTAGGCATCAGACCGAAAAGCAGTATTTAAATCATGGGCTGCCCACCTCTCTTAAGAGCTCTTTTCGGAGGTGACAAGTGGTATCAGAACAAATAAATGTCTGTCATGTGTGTGGAATATCCATGGTCTAGTGGGACCATCGGTAGAGTCGATCCGTGACGAGGGTGTCACGTGATTGGGTCGAAGAGAATGTCATGGACAAAAAGTCCCACATCAGCTAAGTGCAGCGCCGAAAAGCACTATTTAAATCTCGGGCTGCCCACCACCCTTAAGAGCTCTTTTGAGAGGTGACATGCAACTTCTCCTCAAGAAATCGGGCTCTCTCTAGACTTCCTCCTCTCTTATGAGAGGGATGAAGCTCTATTTATATTCTTCTGGTGTAATTAATGCAGCAACACGTACCATTTTGATCAGACGGTCCGGAGAGCTTCCCTCGGTCATACGGTGTTTAATGGACATTTGAGTGCCTTAATGATGTCAGAATTGAGTGATCTTGGGCTCGTTGGATTCGTCTTGTCCAGCCGCTAGATTTGAGTATAAACTTGTCATATTTGAGAGTCGTTTGACTTTTCAAATGTATTCATAAATCTTCTAACTGTGGTTTAATTACTTGATTTGGGCTTGATTTGACTTGGATTGGGCTAGTTTTCATATGATTAGGCATGTCTCATTAAACAAGTCAGTTTGACTATAAGTTTGCTGAAATCGGAGCTCTGAATGATTTTTTATCAAGATTTGAATATCATCTCGAGATTCGTGTCATGCCTCGAGATTCGTGTTGGATGATGAAAATTTTTTTGTGGTGTACAACAATTATGATACCAAAATCGAGCACAAAAGCATCTAGCAGGGAGTATCATTAGCAAATTATATGTTCATAACTTATTTGATTTATAATATTTCTTATTTTTATTGAAGTTGTTGCTATTAAGAAGCAAGTAAATTGTGTAACTTAATATGTATACTGAAGAATGGTATGCACAGATCCTCAGGCAAATTGTAATCTGCTTCCGTCAAATTGACTTTCTACAGTCGACTTTTCCTCGGCAGAGTACTTTTTCCTCCAACAGCGGTCTTCTCCCTACAAGAGCTAACTTTTCCCTCTGTCGAAAGACTTTTTCCTTGATGTAGGACTTTTTCCTCTGACAGACCACCGGAACCCGACTTTTTGTCACATAGAAAAATCCCAGAATTACAGATCTAGCGGTCAACGAACACACTAACACAAAAGACTAAAATATCTTTTATTAAAATAAGGGTAATATTGTAGCTTACATTTTGGCTCTTCTATCATATATAAATATGAGAGCTTTTTCATTGAAATGACCCATTTTGACTCACCCCATTTGTAGCATCTATTTGTAATGGAATAAATGAGCGAACAAGCCCGATAATATCCATATTCACCAACAAATATATTTCAATATTTATGACTGAAAAAATTCACCCAAGAAAAAAAAACTCCAATCATACAATTTAACAAAAATGCAACATTTACATACAAGCTACCAAATTCCTATGTATTCACATATTTAACATTAAAATCATCATTTTTTTTTTTTATATATTTATACCATCCAAATTTTCTCATCACTATTATTCTAAATTTAAAAAAATTAAATACATATTTTTCATGCATGATATATATCGGCAAAAATTAAAGTTTAGGTGTTATATATATAATTATCTAGGGTATAATTATCTAGGAATTGAGCGTTATACATATAAAGCTTCCTTATTATAAAGTAAAAAAGCATCTTTGTTTGTCCTTGCATATTTTTTTTAAAAAGAAAGTTTTAAATTATATAAGAAAACAAGTTAAAAAGTCATTCTTTTGCAAATGCTTTTACGCTATAATTTCAGGAGTAAATAAACCTAATTACCTCGAAAATATTTGTGTATCGGGAGTTATTCAGAGGGCACATGCGGATTATATCCGCTTTACCCTCTTGTAACCTCTCAGTGACTTACCTGTAACTACCGGAACTACAGAAGTGCGAAACTTATTTGTAGGTTACAGGTAGGTTACAAGGGTATAACACTGATATAATCCCCTTATATCCTCAACTCTGCTTACGTCTTACGTACACAAATTTTTTCCAATTATCGAGTGATTCATATAGTTTTATAAAAATTAGGACTAATTTATTTAACAAATTAAACATCTTCTAAAATACGAAACGTAAATATTTCATCCACTCAATACTTTTTACTTCCCATTATAGCCACCATTCCTTACCATTGAAGCTTATATAAGTTTGAAATGTAAATTTTTAAATTTGAATAATTAAAATATTATATTTTATATTTCTGGTCATTATATAAAAATATTTATTTACATTAAATTCGCTTTATATATATTTATATGATAGTATTAAATGAACCCTAAGAATTAATTCCTATGCACGGTATAGTTGTGAAGCAATAAAACGCCATCACTGACTTTGACGGCCAACCCTTTTTTTGTGATAAATATTTAATGCGGCAACCCAACCAACTAACTCCTCTTAAATTCATCCACACCAATCTTTTCCTGAACCATTAATTAATCCCCCCCACCCAATATTCAATTTTTTTATTCCTTACTTTAATTTTGAAATATATTGATAATTAAATAAAGAAATTGCTTTATTTTCATCCCAATCTCAATACTAAATACTCTGAAACTCAATGTTTGGAATACAGACTGTTAATGGAAAGAATGGAAATTAAACTGATAGAAAGCACGCTCCTTTTTTAAACTAATCAGAACAAGATGACGATCAGTTGGCTGATGATGGCGATTAGAGCTAGCTGCAGAGATACGACGCCAGCCGTCCAGTAGCCCTCGCCGCCGTCGCTCGGTGCGGCGGCGATTGAATTCGCCGGCGCCAGCTGACCTGTCCCTGTGGAAGATGAAGACGTTATTGATAAAGCTCTTCGTTTTCACTGTTTGATTCAGAATTTATCTGAATCTCAGCAAAAGTAAATGTTGAATATCATTTATGAAAATATTGGTTCAGAGAACTATGATTGAAACGAAGAATTAAATATAAAAATCTAACATGACATCATGATTGCATGCAAATGAAAAAAATTATGTGAGGATATATACAAGTATAAAAATTTAATTTTTTTTTAAAGATCGATATAATCTTTATTTAATCAGTCAATCAATTTTTTAAATTAAGAAAATCAAATTTAAAATTCATCATTGACGCATGTTTTTTCAACCAAGTAATTCAGATCAAAACAGCAGAGTAATTAAGTAGCAGAAGCATGCAATTACCAGAAGGTACAGAAGCAACGCCGTCCCCGCCGGCCGGAGACAGGGCTCCAGGACTCGCAACCGGAATCCCCAAATCTTCAACAAAATCATCCAAAATTACGAACTTTATGACAAAATGTAACGAGATTAAAAAGAAAAGAAATGAAAAATAAAATTTTGATGAGTACCATTGCAGACACTAACAGGGGGAGTCTGAACATGACAGATAGTGGGAAGCATAAGAGCCTTAGTATCATCTATCTTGATTCCGAAGGTATTTGAGGTAGATAGAAGCTGGCAAAGACAGATTGGGTTACTGTCAACAAGTCCGGCGAGAGCAGGGCAGCAGCCTTTCTCAGGCACCGTCAAGTTGGCGCCTTGTTCGACGTACGTGAGGCAGGAAGTAAGGTTTAGAAGGTCGTTCGTGCAGTCAAGACCTGGAGTCGCCGGAGAAGGAGGGAGTGATGGAGGTTGTAGGGGTAGCAGCGGCGGCGGTGCGGATGCCGGCGTGTGTTTCGGTTTGGGCGGCGGCTTGAGCTTCGGTGAGGACGCCGGCGAGGTTGCTGGTGCGGTCGCCGGCGAGATGGCTCGTGTGTGGGAGATGAGAATGAGGAGCAGGAGTGGGAGGATGGGAGCTCGGCTGGTCGGCATCTTCGGAGGCTTGTTCTGCTTCTCCGTTTTTCGTCTTCTTCTTTGGCGTGAAGAGTGTATAAATGGGAGAGGGAGACGGGTTGTTTTGGGTGTCGGGTCGGACCTTGTCGGGTTGATTCGAGTCGGGTTATGTAGGGCATAATATTTTTCAAGTGTCGTCTGAAATTGCAATAACTATTTTTGTTAATTTAATTTTTCAAACAGCTGTCATGAGAACTGACAGTGTACCACTCAGCCCTTATGTATCTGTATATTTAAGACCTAGGCTTCAATACTTATATACAGACCATCTCATTTATGCATTAAAAGATATGTCTCACTTTTTTTAAAAAAAATTAAAATGATTATTTACTTATGTGATTGTGAGATTTAGGTGTTGGATATGTAAATAGATGCGAATTGGGTTATATTGTGTGTTGAATTCTAGATTATCGTGTGAATCACTTACCTTCGCCCTTATTTAAATAGAGTATCTAAATGTTATTCTAGAGATTATACTCCTTTGGGTCTCTAGGGCCTTGTAATTCTTTGGCTCGGACAATTGGGTCGACGAGGTGACGTGTTCAGTACTGTCGGCCGACTGAATGGATAGGGAACATTGACCGGTTGATCTTTTAAGCAGGGCCGATCGACTGAAATCCTGAAGATAGTCTGCGGGACTGATAGGATCGATTCAAACTTGTTGATCGAATGTATTGATTTTGTTGTCAACTCTCAATTCTCATCGGGGGAATTCATGTATGCTAGGTAAAACTAGGTCATCGGGCAAAGATCAACGAGTCATCATAACATGATGGGTAGTTTACCCTTTGGGTGAGGAGGTTCCGCCGAGGGTGCTTGAAGCTCGTGACTCATTTCCTTATCAAGGAAACTCTCGGTTGAATCTGTCGTCATGCTGCATTCCTTGGGAGTGCATAGTTAAATTGGTTTGGATGATCTTTGCTTAGAGTAAACCGATTCGACTTCTGGGCCACC